TTTTTCAGAATTTCCATCAAAACTAAGAAATTTATTTAATTTGATCAATTAATAGACACTGCAGTATAATAAGAAAATACTGCAATATATTAATAAAATATTGCATAGAAGCTTTTGAAGTGGGGCTCTCAAATTCTAAAGCCATTAACTATTGACTAATTTATATATTTTTGACTGCTATTGTGATAAAAGGTCACTGTTTAAAATTTTTTGCCTTACATCAATACGTTAGCATTCTGCAACCCATTTTGTAACGAACTGTGAACACCACATGTGTAAAATTACCTTAAAAGCGTTTTAAAATTAATAAATGGTCAGTGGTTAATGAGTTTCAGTTTTGAGAGTCCCATATCAGAAATTTTTGCTCTTATAATTCCCATACCATTATAATTTGAAACTTGATTATAGGTTACTTTGGGGCTGTTTGATTTTTGGGATGTTGTTGCATTGGAAAGAGTATTTAAGTTCTCGCTTCTCACTTCGTACGAACTTGCAACAATTTTTTCTGAGAGTTGTAGTCCGATTACAAAATTTAGGCATGGATAAAACAAATGAAAAAATACAACCATGAAATATTGCATTTTCAGTTTAAATGAAACCTTTTTCAAATGCAATGAAACTTTATTTAAATTAAATGAAACTTTTTTGGTTTACTGTGAATTCGCTGTTGAGATTCCGATATAAAAATCCACCTAAGGCCTAACTGTCATCGATTATGTTAATATTGACCTTGTATATCGCTTGTTAGAAAAATGTACTATTGAATTGCAAAAGTAAAATTAATGGCAGTTAAGTTGCAGATGCAGTCTAATATCATGAAATCATTTTTGTAAAAATTGCAGATAGCGGATATTGAATATGAACCTTCGATATATAAAATCATAATTGAAAACTATAAATTTCCAAAGTTCTAGTCAATTCTTACTTTTTCGATTTGGCTTCTTAAATTTGGAAATAAATTGTTTATCTTTCCTTTTGCTTGAGGATGGTTCATCCGCGTCTAAAACATATCAAAAATAAAAAGATGTTGCTTTTATTTTGCATTCTGATTGCTTGTTTATTACCTGTCTC